TCTCCCTCTCCCACTCCCCCTGCTTGTGTTCCCTCTCTCGCTGTGTCTCTCTCTGTCAAATAAATAAATAAAATCTTTAAAAAAAAAAAAATATGAAGTTGCAATGATGCACTGGAATGGGGCTGTGGCTGAAAAGAATGACAGAATCTCAGTGTCGGAGGGACCTGAAAGATCATGGAGTGCAACCTCTCCAACTCTACACTAACCCAGTACGTTGTCAGCAAGGCCCAGGCTTGAACCCCTTCAATGACCTAGAACTCATCACCTCGTGAAACAATTCATTTCATTTTTAGAATGCAAATTTTTGGAATGTTACTGAGACAATATTTAACTCTCTGTCCTTCTATACTTTCCTACCACTGTCCCCTAGAGTCACACAAAATAATCCGAACACATTTCTTTCAAGAGACAGATCTTCAAATACAGTAGTATCAAATCCACCTTCCAAGCTGTCTTTCTTAGTTGTTCCTAAGGATATATACCAGCAGAACTTTGAGTAAATCTATGTAAGCACACCACGGTACCTGTTTAATACTCTCAAATGCAACAGTACCATTTGCAACAATGGTAAATGTACTCTTGGTCAGCATCCCCAGTTATGGAATGGAAAACAAAACCACCTCAACCTACCACATATATTCTTTCCCACAGTTCCAGTAGCCCCTGATTAATGAGCTCCACTTGCAAAGGAAGCTACTTACCTTAACCATGAAATAATGAATGCTATTGATCCAACAAGCTCCTGCTATAGAGTGTTACTGATCACCCAATCTTTGGTTAAAATGGTCCTCATTTAGCAATTTCACTGTCACAAACACCTGGAGCAAAGCATGCTCATAATTAAAGAGTTTGGGGGAGTTAAAGTGAAAGGTGATGGACAGAGATCTCAGCTTTCTCCCATTTATTCTTCTTCTGAGCTATTGTTTGTGTCAGAAGGGATATTGATTTTCTATAAAAATAAGAAAACAAGAGGCACCAAGGGGCCGCAGAAGGTCAGCCTGGGCAGGAGAAGGAGGGGGGAGGTTTAGCACTCTATCTCTGTCACTTGCCTTCCAAGAGAAGGGAATATTTTTTTCCTGTGAGATCGGCCTCTAATACATCACCTTAGGAAGGCTCCTGACTGAGACTTCAGACCAACACCAAACCAATTCACTTATAAAAGAACAGAAGCTAAACTATATTCAAAGGGAACAAACAAATGATATGTTAGTGGAGAATAGAGCAAAATTAGCTATGAATCACCTAATAGCTGCTATATAGACAATATGAATAAAGACAAAAAGTAATTTTACAAAAGAACTGCTCCATTTTAGAATGTAACACATACACACAGGAAAATATTAAAATAACAACTGATCTTTTTGTAGGTATAAAATACTATTACATCATAACCACTTTCAGTTCCTCAGAACTCCTAAGGGATTGGTTGGTGTAGAACTGAACGAAGAACAGAAAAAGAGAAGTAAAAAGAATTACTGGTCAAGCTTAAAACTATTCCATGGTTAATTAGTAAAGCGAGTTTAAGGAAATTAGAAATAAAGCTCTCCGGTTGAGACATATACTTTCAAACCTAAAACATATGACACACATTTTTTTAAAAGAATTCTATCTACTGACGAGGCTTAATTTAGCTTAATGATCACCTTTATCCTAATAATTTTACAAGTTGAATCATACAGGCTGACAATCTTTAATACCACTGATAAAAAGCAAAGTTCTAGGGGCGCCTGGGTGGCTCAGATGGTTGAGCGTCTGCCTTCGGCTCAGGTCATGATCCTGGAGTTCAGGATCAAGTCCTGCATCAGGCTCCCTGCTCAGCGGGGAGTCTGCTTCTCCCTCTGCCCCTCACCTGGCTCGTGTTCTCTCTCTCTCAAATAAATAAACAAAATCTTTAAATAATAGTAATAATTGAGGGAAGAAGATTTTAGTTCCATCTTACTTGAGAGACTGAATATAACTTGCAGTCACCTCTCTTTCTCCACAGAGTAAATTTAGGGGGAAAAAATACAAAGCACTTCTGCTCATAACTACAGATGAATCAACATAAGTCGAGGCATATTTAAAATTCCTAAATAATTAGATTCTAAAGAAGAATTATTCTCATTTTAGGTCTGCTACTACTCAACCTATTATTCCCTCATAGCTACAAGGACTTGGGCATCCATGTTATTAAAGAACTCTGAAGTCATGGACCAGGCAGATAGCACAAATGGGGGGGGAACAAGGTCTTCTCAATTTGAAAAGAATAAGAATTTCCTAAGAATTGCTGCCTACTTCAACTTATTAAGGCTCTCATATAACTAGAATGTTTATTATTACAACCTAACTATAACATGCAATAGATGTGTCTGCGGTAAGAAGGAACTGGAAAGCCTGAAGTGCCTCACTGCTAGATTACTTACAGACTCTGTATCTGGAACCATTCTTGGACTGTTACCTTAAGAGTAGACAGAATTAGTCTCTTCACCTACAATTATTTCATAATTTAACAAGAAATTCTGGGGAGAAAATATACACAAGCTATCATCGCAAAAAACAATTTTTAAAAATCACTATTTTCAACAGTAAATTATTTGGTATATAGGTTTGATACCAAAACAAACTTAAATGCCTCAAATGGGGATTTTGATATTGTAAAAGGCTATAAGTTGACTAAACATTTATTTGATTAAAAATAACAACAAACAAACCCTTTATAACCCAAAATCATACATATAAATTGGGCAAATAGGTCTCAGGATATACATTAAAGGAAAATTAGGGAAGCCAAATTATAAGCCTATCTGGTTGTTCAGACTGGCAAATATACGGTTAGTCAGAAAAACTGTTAAAACTGGATTAAAAATCACCCATGAAAGGTACAGGGATAACCACCTAAGCAGCTTTCCCTATTACTGACATAGCTTCACCTCATAGTTTCTAAGATTTATGTCTTTGTTTTTCAGACAAACTTCAAAAGGAAAGTCCTAAGAAAGGCCACACATTCTACAGGTGTAAAAGCTACGATGAGACGGAAAAAGAGCCATGGAAAAGGCACACTAAAGGGCAGCAAAACATGGTGGTTAAGTATGAACTTCGGAATCAGGTTCAGGTCCCAGTTTTGCCACTGGGTGACCTTAGGCAAATTATCTAAATGCTATTAACCTCCATCTCCTCTTCTATAAACTATGAATAGCAGTGCCTACCATACAGTGGAGTTCTGAACATTCAATTGGGAAAAGGCAGCACCCACAGAGGCATTTGCTTTGATACTATGAAGGGGATGGGAACAATGTAGGGATGCCACATATCCTGTAAAGCATGGGACAGTCCCTCACCACAAAGAATCGCCCCATCCAAAACACCAAGAGCATCTTCCTTGAGAAACAGATATCATGCTGATATTAAGAATAATACTAAAGTATCAAGGTGGGGATTATCAATGTTTCTAGGACTATCTGAGATATAAAAAACAAAGTCACCGAAAACTACACTGCCATTTTAAACATACACCCAACAGACCCAAATGTTTCTGGCTCGATGACATTTGTTATAAGACTAATGGGATTCAGTACCGTTACTTTCAAAGCCCACCATGTGTTCAGACAACTTGAATGCCAGCCATAAAAAATAAGCTCCATACAGTCAAACCGAAAGTAGCAGACAAAAGAATTATAGCCCAGTATCTAAAGCCATGACTCTTGATGGGGAAAGGCAGCTTACCAGGAAAACACACAAACTCCATGTGCCTGGCACCAGCATTTTCTCACGTACACAAACACACACCCCAGCCTCTGCTGAGACCCTCGTTCTAACAACAGCTACGTATGATCTACATGGCATAAACAGCAGTAAATTGTTTTTAAAATAAAATTCATGGTTACGCATGTGAAGTACACATTTTAAACCATTTTTAGAAACAAACTGTGTTTCATTATATGTAGCCTCTTTGACATAGGGAAATAGAATGATGAATGTACTGTAAAAAGTTAGAGATAAACCCTAGCTGATTGCTTAAAGGAGGGCTACAAAGTAAACATTACAGTGGCTGCTTTGGAAAGAAAGTTGAACTCATCAAGACTGTGGATTTGTACTTGGGGTAAAAATAACCAGGAAAATCTCTGACGGAGTAAGGGAGTTCTCACCATTCTGACATGTTCTCATCAGAGCCCTGTTTTGCTTCATCTGCTTCACACTCCATCCTTTCTTTCCTTCCTGTTTTGCTTAGGAAAGTCCTATTTTCTGCTGACTCACACAACCCATGACCTGAGGAGGTCCAGGGAGTATTCTCCTTCCAGCGGGACAGACGCTGCTTCTTAGCAGACTTGAACCTGCAGCCTCTCTCATAGCTCCAATCTGACACCTTGAGCTTCTGCTGGAGGCTGGCAGCCACCTCTGATGTCACCCGCTTCACCTTCCGCCGGCGCCGCAGCGGTCGACATGGTGCATTTTCAGTAAAGGAGTCAGATTCGTGCCAAGAGTGCTGCTTACTCTTAACCATGGCATTGAGAGCTGGGTGCCGTCTGGCTACCATCGTGTCATCAGAGTCACTAAAATTGGCAACAGGGGCCATTTCTCGACAGTCCTTAATGGCCTCATCGAGACTGGACTCAGAGGCCTCACTGTAGCAGCAGGTATGCTCTGCCAGGTGAGTGAAGTCTGAACGGCGCTTCCGGCCTCTCCGTTTGCGAAGCTGCCGCCTCTGCTGGCGAGGGCTCAGGGCCATCTCCTCCCACAGCTCACCAAGCTTATTCTGCTCAGATGTCTGCTCCAAGGCTGAGGCTAAGTCATGTACCAGCTCATCCATGAGGCCACATCTGCCAAAAGAAAGTTCAGGAAAAAAGAAAAAGAAAGCCTGAATAGGATTCTGTTGTTTAGAATAATTTTATAAAATAGACCATGGCACTGCAGAATCCACCCTATCTACAGAAAATAAAGTCACCTTTCATCTGGCTACACTTAAGACTCTGTTCCTCCCATCCATGTACCTTTAAGCCACCAAAAATAGGTGTTTGGCCCTTGTTAGGTACCTCAAGTCAACATGTTCTTAAAGCACAAAAAAAAAAATCACTCACCAGATCACAGCTAAGATATTAGCAAAAATGAGCAAACCCAGGGAAATAAATCTTTCCCCCACTTTTCCCCAATTAAACTTGTCACTAAATTATCTGATGATAAAATCCAAAAAGATTAGAGAAAGTCTCATTAGACAGGAGCAGAAAAACACAAAACTTCAAAACCATGGATAAAGAGCTATTCCATGGTCTGGGGTTACTGATAAGAATGCCTGCTTGTGTTCCCTCTCTTGCTGTGTCTCTCTCTGTCAAATAAATAATAAAAATCTTTAAAAAAAAAAAAATTTAAAAAAAAGAATGCTTGTGCAAGGGAGGAGAAAGACAACTTGGTGACAACACCTTAAGGACCACTGCTTGCAGTTTTAGTGATCTAAGAAATTGTAGTGACCCAGATGTGTACCCTGAATGGAAAAAAGGGACTAAGTCTGCACCCATTCTGGTCCCAACTACCACCTGGAAGCTGGCAGGGAAGGAAATTTACCAGGTATGTCATGTATTTTTTAACAATTAGCAACTTCTTAGCTCTTCTTCCATCCTTCAGAAAATTAAGTGATTATAATTATGTGTGCTTTAGTACCAATCACACAAAAGCAGGATATAACTGAGGCTGAAATGAAGGGACAGATGGAGCCTCTAAGATTTCTAGCTAACCACTTTCTAAATTTTTCTATTTTTCTATTCATTCTTGTCAAACCCTCTTCCTTCAGGGGTCACCTCAGAGGCAAACCTTCTAAGGGATGAGAGCAGTAGGAGCAATTTTCAAAACGCCCTTTTAAAGGGAAACGTCTAATATAATTTGTACAACTCCTTATTAAATACATATTAATTTAGTATCTTTTCCCTAGCCCTTAAGCCCAATTTCAAGGCCATAATTAGAATTTAAAACTGTGTGGCGCCACTCTTAGACCGTATTTCCATTCATGCTGTTTACATTCTGCAAAGGACTTTCTAAAACCTATTTTCATGCTGTCCTATGCCAACGAATTCAAAGGCAAGAAAACAGTAGGCTGGCTTATCTGCCACATGGGTGGGAGCAATGGGGACACCTAGTTCCAAAACTACCAACCAAACAAAACGTCTCAAAGTTTCAAAAGCCACACAACATAAAATGACCACGTCCCTTTAAGCAATACGAAGTAGTCTAAAACGCCCTGACCGGGGTTTGGGAGACAACTGCCCCTAAGACAAAAACAGATGTGGGGACAGCACGTCTAAACCTACTTCCTTAATAAAGAACTACTGCTTTAAAACTCAGGCAGAACTGTACACTTTAACGTGGAACAACGTTACAGAACAATTTGCAGCTATTTGTGCAGAATCCTTTCCTATCGAAAGGGCTGCAATTCGAACAGTTGGCGACAGAATCCTGAGCTTCCCACACCGTCAGTCTCGGGTGCACACTCTGAGAGGACCCCCTTGTCCAGCAAGCACTCGAGGAGAGGAAAGGTAAGTCACGCACAGAAAAGAACGGGAAACGGATAGAAGTTAAAAAAAAAAAAAAAAAAAGGCAGGCGTACGGTCGGAGCGAAAGACGGGGTTGCGAGAAGCTGGGACGGAGGCAGGCGGCAGGAAGCAACTTCTCATTTGGGCTCACCGGGGCAGGGAGTCAGCCCTTCTCGGGCAGAAACTGCAAAAAAAAAAAAAGGAAGTCCTGGCGACTAAACTCCCTCCGTGATCAGGGGTCGCAACATGGCCACAGATGTGAGAAAGAGCTTGTTTGGAAGGACTCTCCTCCACGCCCCGGCCCGCCCCCGAAGACTAGGGCGAACACGGCGCGGGACACCAAGCCCTCCCGCCGTCGTCTGCCCAAAAGAGCCAGAAAGAAGAAAGGAGAAGGGGTGACTGTAGCCCCGGAGACGCCCGAATCTGGTTCCCCGGGATAGGGTCGATGGGCCCTGAAAAACAAGGCCCAGCCACCCTCGCCCCTCCCGCCAACCTCCGCAGCCCGGTGGCAGCTATAGCCCCTCGGCCTTGGCCGATAGCCCCGATCCCCGCTGGCGCCGGCCCCCGGGACCCCGACCCTCTCAACCCACTCCTCCCCCTCACCAGCTGCCGCAGCCACCTCCAATGGCCGCCGCTTTTGGGGCCGAGTCTCCCCGCCGGGGTTTCCCTTTCTGACCTCATTTCCTGTCTGGGCCGGAGGGGTGGGGCAGTGGTGGAGTGGGAGGGGCTATCTGATCGAGAAGGCCCGCCCCTGCCCAGCGCTTCCGGTCCGTGGCCGCGCCCACTTCCGTCCCACGGAGGGCGGGGCCTTGGAGAAGCCGGGAACAGGGGCAGGGGGCCCCGGGGGGTGGTGGTTAAGGGCGGGCGGGGTAAGGGATGATGTCCACATCTGGGAAAGGACACCCCTCCCCAGTCTGGCCTCGTCTACCTTGGGAACGTCAAGAAATTGGGCATTAGGGAGGGACCTCCACCTCGCCCTTGTTTGCTGACCTCCTTTTATAAAGGGTGTGTGAAATTGAGGGGAAATGCATCCTCATTCTTGACTGTGAGAGTTGGCACAACTATTGGCCGGGTACCTTTGAAGTGAATTACTCAGAGTCTTGCAAATACAAATGCCTTGAGCAACAAAACAAGTAAAGTACTATTGGATTAAAACTCTATAAAATTAATACCCATGAGTCTATAGTGACATAAGTAAACTAATGATATGAATACTGACATGAATAAAGTAATAAACAGGGAAAAGAAGATAAATCTCTGGAGCAGAAAAATTCTGAAGCATTTCTGTAGATAATTCATCCTGAAGTATAACTCCCAACTCCTTGAATGTGGGCTATGTGTAGTGACTTCCTTCTAAAGAGTACAGCATGGAAAGAGGGAAAATGAGTGTAGTGGAGACACTAGGCAAGCTCTATCTCAGCCAGGTGATGAAGGTTAACATGAACAGTGATAAATCATGTGGATCCTATGTAGGCTAGCTATGATATGATGAAAGTGGCATTTTATCTCTATGATACTTTCCTTCCAAACCCCATAAACCCAGTCTAATCAAGAGAAAAAAATCAGACAAACCCCAATTGAGGGACGTTCTACAGAATGCTTGACCAGTATTCCTCAAAATTGTTAAGGGCAAAAAAAGTCAAGGAAAGTCTGAGAAATTGTCACAGCCAAGAAGAGTCTAAGGAAATGTGACAACTAAATGTAGTGTGGTATCCTAGGTGGGATACTGGAACAGAAAAAGGACCTTAGGTAAAAACTAAAGAAACCTGGATAAACTATGGACTTTAGTTAATAATAATGCCTCCATGTTGGTTCATTAATTGTGACAAATGTTCTATATTAATGTAAGATGTTAATAATAGGGGAACTGAGTATGCGGTGTACAGGAACTGTCTGTAGTACCTTTGTAATTTTTCTGCATGCTAACAGTAGTCTAAAATAAAAAGGTTATTTTTTTAAATGCACATGCCTTTTGACCCAGAAATTCTGCCTCTAAGGAATTTTATTCTGAAGAAAAATTGGAAATTGGTACAAAAATTTTAAATTGTGGAGAGAGGGATGAGAAGACTAGAAAAAAAAAATCCTACAACAGGGATTAGTTATCTAAATTATGGTACATCTATGGGATGGAATACCTCTGAAGCCTTTTAAAATTGATGTGGAAGAATATTTAATAAATGAAAAGTCATCAGTTTCTGATTGTGTACATTTCTGCACGACTGTTTTACTTCAATAAAAAAGTTATTCTAAAAATGTAGAGTATGGCTGTATTCATGTGTATAGGAAATTAAATCTGTACTTGCCTAGGAATATAACTAAAATGATACACTAGACATCATTGAAAATAGTTCCATTATAAATGACTATATCTTCTACCTGTTATTTTTTTTGGATTTTCAGAATTTTCTTTCTTTTTTTTTTTAAGATTTTATTTATTTGAGAGAGAAAGTGTGAGAGAGAGAGGAAGCACGAGCAGGGGGAAGAGGCAGAGGGAGAAGCAGACTCCCGGCTGAGCAAGAAGCCCAACACGGGACTCGATCCCAGGACCCTGGGATCATGACCTGAGCCAAAGGCAGATGCTTAACCAACGGAGCCACCCAGGAGCCCCTTTTCAGAATTTTCTATAGATGAAACTTACTATGTAAAGAATTAAGGGAAGAGGCAAGGAAGACTGAGGTTTGGAGCCAGCATGACTAAGAGAGTGGTCAGTACCATTTGCACAGCTAGAGAAGTCAAGAAAAGAAACAGATTTGGTGAGAAATTGAGTAATTCCATTTTGCACACACTGAATTTGTAACTCTCACAGGAGAGAAAGAAATGTTCAAAAGTTGTCCACAGCCATCAGCCCTCTTTTCTGCTTAAGTGAAGTTCTCTCCCACAAGCGACCTAAGTGTCCACTGATAAATAGATTCTTTAAAAAGATGTGGTGTACACACAAACACACACACACACACAGATACACACAATGGAATATTAGGCAGCCTTTAAAAAGTATGAGATGGTGCCATTTGCAACAACATGGGTGGACATAGAGGGTATTAGGCTAAGTGAGGTAAGTCAGACTGAGAAAGACAAATACCATATGATTTCACTCCAATGTGGAATCTAAAAAAAAAAAAGAATAAACAAAAAAAGGTAAGTCAGACTGAGAAAGACAAATACCATATGATTTCACTCCAATGTGGAATCTAAAAAAAAAAAAGAATAAACAAAAAAAAAGCAGAATCAGACCTATAAATACAGAGAACAAACTGATGGTTGCCTAGGGGAAAGGAAAAAATGGGTTAAGGGGAGTGGGAGATACAGATCTCCAGCTATGGAATGAATGAGTCATGGGAATAAAAGGCACAGCAAAGAGAATATAGTCAATAATATTGTAATAGTGTTGTATGGTGACAGATGGTAGCTGCACTTGGGGTGAGCATAGCATAACATATAGAGAAGTTGAATCATTACATTGTACACCTGAAACTAATATAATATTGTGTGTCAACTATATTCAAATAAAAAATTTAATAAATAAAACTATGAACAAAAATTCTCTCTCACACATCATAGCATCTCCCATGATGTCAGTTACAATCAGCTCTGAAAGCTCCTTTATTTCTTGAAATCCAGCTTTTATTTTCAGCTTTCTGCTAGCTATCTCGCCTGCTTTACTCCACGAGCATCTCCAGTTGAAGACATCAAGACAAAGCTTAGTTTCTTTCATAGTCCCTACCAAATCTTCCCCTTCTTCACCGTTCCCTGTTTGGGAAATGTTACCACCATCATGCAGTCACCCAGGTGGGATGCCTCAAAGTCATTTTTAGTTCCTGCTTCTTTCTTACATCCCTTTATCTAGTTAAATGCCAAGGCTCATAGATTTTACTTTTATAGTACTCTTGCGTTCACTCTCCCTGTTTTGCTTTCTCTGTGCCATTGACCTGGGTAGGCAACCACTCTTCTGGATGGTCTGTTCCCAAACAAGCCATTCTCTACACTGGCAGTAGAGTGAGATTCCTAAAACACAGTTTCACCTCATCCATCTTTCACTACCTCCTGCATCATATTTGAGCACACCAGATCACTTGCTATTTCTTTTTAAGGTTTTATTTATTTTTTTGAGAGAGAGAGAGAGAACATGAGTGGGGCAGGGGCAGAGAGACAGGGAGAGATTCCCAAGCAGACTCCATGCTGAGCACAAAGCCTGATGTGGGACTTGATCTCACGACCCGGGATCATGACCTGAGCTGAAATCAAGAGTCAGATGCTTGGGGC